TAACATGCTATAAAGCTTAGTTTTATTCTCACTGTAAACATAATCGTGGTAGCTCTACACGTACGTCTAACGTGTAGATACTTTCACCCTTAATGTGTTTAGAGTTATATTAGTATAGTTTTACCCGTAAAGCATACTTCTAAGTAGTTTTATTCTCACTGTAAACATAATCGTGGTAGCTCTACACGTACGTCTAACGTGTAGATACTTTCACCCTTAATGTGTTTAGAGTTATATTAGTTTAGCTTTACCCGTAAAGCATACTTCTAAGTAGTTTTATTCTCACTGTAAACATAATTGTGGTAGCTCTACACGTACGTCTAACGTGTAGATACTTTCACCCTTAATGTGTTTAGAGTTATATTAGTTTAGCTTTACCCGTAAACATACTTCTAAGTAGTTTTCTTCTCACTTTCTTATGTATGAAGTTTTTAGTTTGCTTTTACACATCGCAGTAAACCTCTGTTTATATACGGTTCGAGAAATGTGCAACATGATGCTACTAATTTATTCTTCTAAATCATTCATCAGACAAGCTGATTAACATAGTAAAAAATGAAAATAAAGTCAAATCTACCGTTCGGTTTACCCCTCGTTACTGAGTTATATCGTTTAGAATATAACTCAGCGACCAGTGGTAAATCCAATGATAGATTGGGCTTCACATTTATTTTTAGTTTTATTCTCGCTGTTTATAATAGTTCCGGTACTGTAACTCAAGGTATGAATAGCACTTCTAAGTAGTTTTATCCTTTTTATCGTATACAGATATATAGAAGACATTCCATTTACTAAACAATACTTGCTAAATGCTTTCAAAAATATACACAATTCTAGTTAGTATGAGAAAAACCAACCAAGCATAAACTCTGAAATAATTTGTTTCTTACGTCATCGTTCAGACCAACTGTGGCAGCATTGTCAAGTACTCTTTGTTGTAGCAGTTCCCAGAGTCGAGCCTCAGCCATGATCTTTCTACTGAGACTGGACATGTCAGGCTCGCCTTGTATGTCCACAAGTGCGTCTGATGACCTCTTCATTCCGCAGCCCGTGAAAGCATTACAGAAAGGTCTCTTTTCTGGGGCTAGACGTACGCCATTGTCTCTTACCTGTTTAGGAGGTAAGTGACATGTTATAAAGAATCAACTTTCCAAAATGTTAGATCTTTTCTTCTGCGGTGTTAGACCAACGTATTCGTCTGGTACATCAGTGACTACATAAAGGTAAGGCTCTCAAGACAGTTGTCCCAGGGACCGAACTGACCCAATTCAGACCCCACTGATGAAAAGGCCACTCAAGAGATTTATAAAATTAACACCCTCAGGGTTCTGTCTGATACACAGTCTCAACTTGTGAACTGCTCACCTGTAAACACAGCTGACGAGCCAACAGCTAGAGGTCCCCAAACCACCCACCCCACGCTGTATTATTACACAAAAAATCGGGAAACAATGTTTTATTTATGTGTAAGGCAATGTAATATTTTACTTGAGTAACATTAATAAACTGGGCCGTTTATATACGTGTGTGTGGAGGGGAGTAAAATATACTCGATGCAGGGCCTGTTATCTGTGTTACCTGTTCAGGTGCAAAAAGTGGGGTATGAAATGTTGTATTTCTAATGTACGTATCTACGGAGATATGCTGCTTTTAAAATTGTACAGAATGGCCTCTTCTGTGTTAATTTATCTACTTTATCGGCTAATATTTGCGTAGGTTCAGAAACTGTGTCTCAAAATATCGTGCTTTGAAACTGTTACCAAAATGTCACTTCAGTGACACTTGATCAAACTCTAACGTCTTAGACTTGTGTGCAGACACAAAGAGACATGTTTAAGACCATTTTAATCAAGAAAAACTTTAATTATATTTATCGTATTGTAAGTTGGAACAACTCTCAAAATATAGTTAATGGATTTGAAACAAAATTTTATTGTCAGTTAAATTGTAATCTATCAGACTTAAATAATAGGTAAAACGTAAATTTTACGCAACGGTTTATATATAATAGTACTGTTTGTTGTTTGTTGCATGTCCAAGTAACTACTTCGCAGGGTGTGGATGGATCTTTACCAAAATCGGTGTGGAGGTTTATTAGGTCGTTGCGGATGTACATGCAAACTTCCGGTTTCACATTTTGTGTTTTGCAGTTTTAAAGGGCGTTTTTTAGAATTACGTATAAGGGAAGCAACTTTTCATGTCCTAAGCTAATCTTTCATTAATCATGAATTTACATAACTTCCGACCAGGGGATGGATACTCCAGCTAGTTTAACAATAAATTATATATCTCTGTATGCGTACATATCGGAAATGAGATCCAGATACAACCCAAAATATTTCTGAAGTTGTGCGGATTCTACTGGTCATTTGATTCGGACAGCAACTATTAAAGTTAAGTTTTGAAATATCCAGTTTTTACTCGTTCCAAATAAATAGTATAGAAGAGTATTCGGTTTCTGATAGATACTTTCTAGAGGGAAGGCAGCTAGTCATTACCACCCACCGCCAACTCTTGGGCTACTCTTTTACCAACGAATAGTGGGATTGACCGTCACATGATAATGCCCCCACGGCTGAAAAGGCGAGCATGTTTGTTGTGACGGGGATTCGAACCCGCGACCCTCAGATTGCGGGTCGAACGTCCTAACCACCTGGCCATGCTGGGCCTATGTTGTGGCTCCGTCACGTGGGTTTGACATGACCACTATACAAGTATCATTTTAAAGATACGAGGTTTTCGTCCCTCATATGATGCTGACTCAAATAATATGCAATTGCCATTACATGGATTAAACTCTGTGTAAATGGCATTTCATCTCATCTTAACTCGTGAAACTAACAACGAGTATTGAAAAACGTATGTTTAATAAAAAAATTTAAAACATCACATACAAATATTGTTAGAACACTTTAATACTTTACCAAATGTATCAATAAACAATTTATGAACATCAGACACTTTCGAATCATTATCAATAGTATTGACAGATTGTTTGTTGTACAATAAATAGCTACATTTCTAAACGTTAGAACAATATATACATATATATACGAGCTCAGTTTTTTAGTATACCAACAATATTAGTCTTTCCAAAATAGCAACGTAGTTTTAAACTTACCGATTTAGGTAGATACCTGCTGTTAACTGTTCTAGCAGCAACGACTAACAGCAATAAAAATGAAGAACAGCTGAAAAGTGAAAGTCATCTTGTTTGTCTGGAAAGAGAAGGAATGTTCATTGTCACTGTAAAGTATAAATGTTTCTAAATGTTCTGCTGGTTTGTATCACTTAGTATTGTTATCATAAAACATGAACTTGGAACCAACCTTCAGTATTGAAGATTAACTCCAATGTGTATATTATCTAAGGTTACGTTCTGAACATTAACGGTTTCAATACGATGCAAGTAGTTCATTAGGTTAACAAATGTTTGAAAGTAGAGAAGACCTAGTCTAATTGCGTTAATACTTCTTGGACATCATGTTTTTAGTAGCAAGTTACAAGTATTATTCTAGATTTTAGTTGGTTTTTGGGTCTATACTTTTTTTGCTTAATAAATCGGCTAAAAGCTCAACACAAGTCCTTTAATAATAATAATAAAAAAAAGAACCCACCTGCACAGCACATGCCATTTGTTTTTACACGTGATTCGATTTTTTCACTTTACTTCTGTTCCATGTGACTAAACCTGGTTCGAAAATGATTAAAGATTGTGGTTGCATCACATGGTTTTTGATGTAAGTTTACTTAAACGTAGAGGGGGGTTCTTACTTACAAGTCCTATACCGTGGTGTCTGCCGTTAGCTGGCTTTCACAAGAGGTAACCAAAGCCATTGTGTGTCAAATCTCCTGGTGGGTACCATAATTCATTCGAGTTAAGACATAAATGTTATGTTCCATTATGATTCTCCAATATATGCTTCAAATGAGGCCATGGAGCCACTTAGAAACTACCCAGGAGGTAGAGAAATAAAAGTAGTTTCAGGTTCGTTTGGAAGAATGTCCAAAAGTATTACTAACATTTTTCAAAGAACTTGAATTTTGGTTTTCTCATGATATTTATTTTTTTTTTTATAAAATCCTGATAATCAAATTCTACAAAATCTTAGATATAGAAACAGTCTAGTTACAACGCTACAACGCAGATAGAATAAAAACAGTAAACAAAACTCTAGCTTCAAACATTTAACTTAATCGATTTTTTTTAACCAGTAAGGATTCATAACGTAAAAACAAAATAAAACAGAACACAATCTATGAGCTACCAGATTATGAAGCTTTCATGTTCATTAAGTATTATCAGGCTATAAACAGTTCTTTAATGTGGAGACAATAAATAAATCATGCCTATAACATTTATTTCCAGATCATACATTTGTAAAGAAGACACCAACAAATGTTATCAAGCTTAGATAATTACGTAAGTAGCAACACCCGAAGTTTTAGACAGCTAGTAACTAAACAATGTGATGCTTTTAACTAGTGTCGATGATAAAATTAAAATTGAATAGTGCAGTCTAACGTGTAAACACTTTAAAAAGAAAAAACAAACAGTCTTTTTTTTCAATGAAAAACGTTTCTTTCTTCGACGTTTCACCTTGTGCCTTCTTCTAATACACTAGCGACCGTAGTATGTGGCTCAGAACAATTAGCTGATAGTACAAACTTTGAAAAGCAACAATAAATTTAAAAAACATATTCCCTTTGAAATCGAATAACATATCGCCATTTAAACCAAAAACAGGTCCTATGAAAACCTTTATTGAAGAACTTTCAGCTCATTCACAAATAATTTTAATCAAGATTAACCCAAATTTAAACAATAAATAATCGAATGTATTAGTGAACTTAATAAACGTAATAATTACAAGATCTGAAAAAGGAAGTAAAAACAGTCCACGGCATACTCAGCAAGAGTTTATACATTGCATGAATGAAAGAAGGTTAAAGTGACTCGAGAAAATACACAAGAGTGGATGAAAACTCAAATTCAGTATATGAGAAGCAGATGAAGCGTGTTTTATAAAAATTAGAAAATGACTAGTATATTAATCAACACTTAAATAACTGATTACACTGTAGAACATCACAACTTATAGTTTGCCGTTTCATAATGTCTATTTATTCCGCCTCCAACTACAATTTTCGCGCTCTTTTATTTTATTTTATTACTTCATCTATAAAACACCTATAAAAACACAATCAGAAATACGTCTAATTTTCTCCAATCCTTGAAGAAATTAAGCCATAGAGCAATCATCGAAACTATCATTCATGACTAGACGAAGGATTACCACACCTTCTTCAAATTTAATGACATTAATTGACTTTGAAACAAAGTTTCGTTTTCAATTCAATGACTCAACGTACTGCCAAATTGATAAACTCTGTTTGAATGGAACTTTATTTAGCTCATTAACCAATCAATGTTTTCCTAATTCAGCTAGAGAGGAGTGCCTTCAATACAGACATACACACACACTTCTGTAAATGGAAGAAGCATGTTGAGGATGTTTTATATGATTTTAACTCTTACCTTGAGAAACAATGTTTACAAATCATATTAATAACATTAACCCTAACATCCATTTCACTATTGATGATGAAGAAAATTTCCACATGAATTGTTAAATGTTCATACAACCAGGAAATTAACTAGATTTTACACCTATCTCTACAGTAAATTAAAACACTCTGAACAGTGTTTAGACTGAAATCTGCAAACCAACCACGGCCAAACCTTGAAACTGTGAAACTTATAAAACAAATCACACTTGAAATACGCACTCCTATTAATTTAAGTAGTGAATTGATCTGAATATGTTAGATTTTCATTAATAAAAATATGGTTACCACCCCTTTTATTGAACGTGCTAGCGATAACCTTGTCGGGACATGGAAACGTCTCATCAGAAAGCACAATATTAATATCAGCTCAATACGTCAACTCATAATCATACAAAACATGGGAATAATAATAGAAAACATTATTCGAAGAAAGTATCCCGAATAAAAGGAAACCAAAGGAATAATATATGAAATTTAATGTGACACGTGTGAAAGATTTTATTTAGGAGAACTTACAAGAGAAATGAACACAAGAATAAAAGAACACTTTAAAGGACCGTCCTATGTTTTTAAAATTTAAAAGAAATCAAACACTGCATATGTGAAAAGAATTACATTTCTATGAAGTGAAAGTGATCGAAACAGGAGAAAACTGCAGGAATTTCACCGATCAAAAATATCCAGGAACTTTTCTCTATCTTTATTAATTATAATCCACATAATCCTTCACTATATTTTTATATTTACGTATTTTTACATTTATGTCTTTTGTAACTAATATATTGCCACCTGCATCCTTCTCAGGTGGCTCAGTGGTCTGTCTGTGGGTTTATAAAGTAAATATCGGATTTAGATACCTGCGATGGGTAGGGCACAGATAGCCCATCGTGTAGCTTGCGCTTAACAACAAAGAAAAGAAACAAATCATTGCCACCAATGGTAAATACTTATAACGATAACACGCCCATTGCTAAGAGCAACAGTTACAACTTGAAGTTGTTAATCATACATTACCTGAAGATGATCCACTCCTATAGGTTGATACGTCACAGTTAAATCACTTAAAATAAAAATTTCCACTTTAAACTGTTCATGACATTAAATTCAACAAGTCTCCTTCTGTGATCTTAGGATTGGACACGTTCAAACGATGGAATTTAATGACATTGTTATAGAGTACCTCGTGAGGAATACAATAAAGTTTATAAACAATACTTTCAAAATTACATAGTCTTGTATAAAAGAACACTATAAAAATGTAACTTAAAGTTTTTATTTTTCATTTAGAATATACGTTTCTACAATTGAAAAATAACAAGCCAAAATCTGAACAGGAAAACAAGAATTCACAAGGGCCGTCTTCTATCCCTGTTAATGGACGGGTAATTAACTCAGAAGAAAGAATGTATGCCTTATATTTTTTATAAAACACATGTAGAATTTCAACTCTGTCTTAGAAGTGAAAGGGTGGTAAAATTCTGCTAAAACATGTTTATCAATAAAATGCCCTGTTACAATACCATTTTCACCTTCTTCCACTAAAGTAGCCCGTAGAATTTTAACTCTGTCTTAGAAGTGAAAGGGGGGTAAAATTCTGCTAAAACATGTTTATCAATAAAATGCTCTGTTACAATACCATTTTCACCTTCTTCCACTAAAGTAGCCCGTAGAATTTTAACTCTGTCTTAGAAGTGAAAGGGGGGGTAAAATTCTGCTAAAACATGTTTATCAATAAAATGCCCTGTTACAATACCATTTTCACCTTCTTCCACTAAAGTAGCCCGTAGAATTTTAACTCTGTCTTAGAAGTGAAAGGGGGGGGGGTAAAATTCTGCTAAAACATGTTTATCAATAAAATGCCCTGTTACAATACCATTTTCACCTTCTTCCACTAAAGTAGCCCTTAAGAGTTCCATACAGCAGTTTGGTTGTTTATCTTATAGCAAAGCCACATTGGGCTATCTGCTGCGCCCACCGCAGGGAATAGAACCCCGGATTTTAGCGTTGTAAAGTGGTAAATTAACCACCGGGGGACCCATACAGTGGAACCTTTCCCGTCCCTCGGTTCTTCAAGGTGGTTTACGTTGTCATTTAACACTATTCATTACACCTCTTTGATGTATTACTTGTTAAAATCTAAAATAAGCGAAAACAGTTTTTTGCAAGTATTAACAAAGTTTAAATACTGACTTCAGCAAACGGTTTTTAACAGACTTTTTAGGTTTTTTATTACGTGTCTAGGCAAAACTGATTCTCTCACTGTTTTCCTAAAATATTATAAACCTTAGAGATAATAAATGGAATAGGGAGTTTTCAAATCCAAAAACATTTTTATGGTATTTTTAAAATAACCATTTGATTTAAATTCAAATAATTTCTTAAGAAATAGCCAAATCGACAAAATTGTTAAAAATAGGGAATTCTTGTTAAGTTACCAACAATCATAGTGCGTTTTATGGCTCAGGATTTAAGTGCTAGTGATGAAGTTGTGACGATCGGATTACAATTGTTGTCATGGTTAGTAGCACATACGATTACCTAAATTTAATTCTTTATTAGTAACCATTTATTTTTATACAACTAGCCACTAACGACTGTATTAGTCGGTATTCGATGTTAAGTCTTTTTGTTGGGAGTCTGGAATATTATCTACTAGAATTATTATCTACTACAATTAGAATTTGAATGAACTAAGTATTGAAATGGTATGCTGATTTCTGTACTAAGTTAACTGAGTGTATTATCAGTAAGGTGGATGCAAAAGGCTTCTTTTATCTTTCCTTTTCTCATGTGTGGTTCATATCCCATTATTTTATTAGTATTCCAATTTATCGTATGGGTTTTTTTCTTTGGCTTGATGGGCTATTGAAGATAGATCGGTACTACTGGGTTTTATTTGTATGTTTTGTTCCCAAATTATAATTTCATTGTATTTTTTCTCCATTGTGTTGGCATCCACAATCACAGAGGATGCATTAAATGGTGCTTTTCATCTCCATAGGTGATTTGATAGGTAATAACTATGATGGCATTGTGTTATGGCTTCTGAATAATGTTATGACTTCATGTCGTCTAAATACTCTCTTTACGTATTCAGAGAGAACTTCAACACAAGGAATGTGGCTGTGTGTTTGTAGTGGTTTTCCTATTTATTCTTGGTGTTTATGATCTTCATCAAGTGCTCTGGGTATCCATTGATAAGGCAGGTTGTAGTGACGAGTTTTTCTTCCTTCTTAACTTGGTATTATAAATCATGTTCTTCCTGGAAACTATGCAGTCTATGACATCTGTCTTTACTATGTTGAGTTGATTTTATTTGTAGTCGAGGTATTTACCAGTTACTGTGGATTATCTGTACGCTCGTGTAGTATATGAGTTGTCTGACTTGGTAACCATCACGTCAAGGAATGGGAGATTCTTATATTTTTGTATTTCTATTTTGAAATGTATCGCTGGATGTTATCTGTTTTTGATTTATTGAATTTTATCTATAGTGTGTACTAGAATTACGAATGTGTCGTCAACATACCTTAGTCAAATCTTGGGGCGTAGAATGGCTGTTTCGAGAGCGTTGACTTCCAAATGTTCCATAAAGATGTTACTGAACACTGTGTGTACAGAAATCACAGCAAAATTCTATCGCAGTTAGTACACACCAAACCACTTAAAGACCAAATAGAGAGGAAAAATGTTATTTACATCTCTTGTGAAAGGAGATTTCAATCAATTGGAGAAACAAAAATTATAATTCAGGAACATAATAGACACACAAGAATCGGTAGTACCGAACTGTTTGTAATAACCTATTATACCAGAAAATTAAAATATACGATAAATTGGAATAATAGGATATTAGCCACATAGGAGAAAAATAAAAAATAATAGAAGCTTTCTAGATCCATCTAATTGAAGTAATCAAGAGTATCCGAACTTCAAAATAATTAGTGATTAACAGTAGTTGAAGTTTTTAGATAGTTCCGAAGATTTCAAAATCTGCGCTTGCGACAGTAAAGTAATTACCAGATCCTCTAATTTACTCAGTTAGCAAGTAATAGAAACTTATGTTACCAACTGGTCTTGAGGCCATATGGGTCTGAAACTTTACACAGTAAAGTAATTAACAGAACCAGTAATTTATACAGCTAACAAGTCATGATAAGTGATGTTTCCACTAGTATCGAATATGCTGTGGTCTGAAATTTTAGACAGTAAAGTATAATTAATAGAAGCTGTAGTTTGTACAGCTAGCAAGCAATGAAAAGTGATGTTTCCAACTAGTCTCGAGACTACTGGGGTCTTGAACTTTGGACAGTAAAGCAATTAGCAAAACCTGCAAAGTGTTTAAAGTGCATGGAATATCTTGTGGTTACACGGATTGGAACTCACCTCGCCAGCTCCGAAATTCAAAGCTTTACCCCAGAACCAATCCACGCCCTATACAGCTAGTTAGTCATGAAAACTGATGCACCAGTTAGTTTGGAGGTTGTAAAGATTGGGAACATTAGACAGAGTAATTACAGATTCTGAATTCTCAGATAAAGAGCAACTGAAGAGATATGATATTTTCAGCTAGTTTCAATAACAAAAGGAGTCGTAAATTTCACATTAAAGTAATTAAAATAATATTATTTGAAAATAGAAAAAAATTAACTAAAAGCATTTAATGTTTTCAGGTAGTGCCTCTACGCTTACGCTACCTGGTTCTAAAACCATAAACAAGAAAGCAGTTAAAGAGTTTTAATTTCCAGACCGCTAGCAACTAAAGGGAATTGAAGTTTTCAACTCTTGTTCAAAGTATCAGGAAATGTTCAACTGTTGTTCACCATAGGCCTACGGGGGATTTTTCAGAGGGAAGGCTGTACAATTTTTGCCCGAATGAGGTTACGGGTAAGAAAGACATTCTGCTACCAGTTTTTCCACAATAAAGGTAAAAATTGCCCGACTAACTATATTTTCTGCTTCTAATTTTTCCCGAATGAAAACTAAAAATGTGTCCGAATGGCCATATACATTGCAAGCTAGGGGGGGGGGGGGTCTGCCTCACAGTCTCCCTGCCTCGTTCGCCTTTGTTGTTCAGAGTACCAGGAAATGTAGTTTTAGCACTAAAGTAGTTAACACAATCTGAAATTTTCAAACAAGTCAAATATAATGTAAACTGAAGTTTTCAACTAATTTCCATGCCATCACTCTGAAACTTTAGGTAGAAAAGTATTAATAAAACTGATTTTACATATACAGTAACGATAGATAACTGAAGTTTATGGAAGGTGCCGAGACTTCCAAAAAACGAAACATTAAACAGTAATTACAGTATTTTAATTCTCAGACAACTAGCAGCTAAAAATATTAGAAGATTTCACTAGTTCTGACGCTATAAAGTCTTGAAAGTTTAAAGAGTGTATTAAGCAAGATAATTTCCATTTTCAGACAGTTAAGAACTAATTTAAACTGAAGTTTCTGTTGGTGTTCTACAAAATAAGCTATCTGTGTTCTGGATTTACGTGTTGGAAGTCCATAAACTTATCGCTGAACCACTAAGAGCCCTAATGTTTCTAACTATTCTTAATGTTTCCAGGAGCTGCAACTAGATATAGTTAAGTATTAAGAGAAACTGGATTTTTAGAAAAAATATACTTTAGGAAACTGAACTTGACACCACCTTAAACTATAGAACTTTAGAAATAATGTGAATTTTTATATGCTTCAGTAAGATAAACGAAAATTAAAGTATTCAGTTGGTCTTGGTACTTTTATAATTTCGAAATTTAGACAGCAGTGTAATAAAAATACCCGAATTTTGTTCACAAAACAAACGAAATTCTGAAGTTTCAGTTCGTCTCGTTGCTAGAAATATCTGAAATTGTAGGCAGTAAAGAAAGGAAAATAACCTTAATGTTCAGATAACTATAGCCACTAACGAGAACTGACGTTTTCAATTAGTCTTGACAATACTAGAATCTTGAATTATAAAGTTATAAAAAGAATCTATATTTGTAGACAAACAACAGTTACTGCTAACTGAACTTTAACTTGTTTCGTTGCAACCAAGATATAACTTTAGACTGTGAAACAATTATTATAATCTAAAGTTTAAAGCAACTGAAATTATTTGAATTTTTGGAGAGTAAGTAAATAATATAATCTAATGTTTTTACACAGTTACTAACGGCAATGAGATTTTTTAAAGATATCAACTTACACCTTTACTGAATTTTATTAGGTACTAGTAGGTAACAAAATATGAGGTGTAAACAATTAACAGAATCTGGAGTTATGAGTCAATTAAAATTACCTGAACATTTTGTATACAGTAAAGCTGTTACAGTTTTCAGATTATGAGATTATGACAATTAATAGGATTCCAAATTTCGAGGAAAATAACGAATTGTCAAATGTTCCATAGCTAGATACGTTTCATATTTCCCTCAAATATTAATAAAAGTATTTCAGCTTGTTGTCAGTTTACTAAGATCTTTCCATTGCTGGATCCATGACTTTCGAAAACAGTAACGAATGAATAAGTACTTTCTAGGTTTAAAGATATTACAAAAAAAAAATACTAAGTGCAACAGTTTAACAATATATTACTGCTTTGCTGTACTTTTTCATAGATGTAAAGAGAAACATTTACGGTTAGCTCTAGAGATTTATACCTTAGAAAATGTTATCTAAAAGCAATGGCTAAAAGGACATAGGTACGTAAATTTCCACATGTATTTCACACAGTACTATTTTAATGAAACTGTGGAAGTTCTTCTTACCTATCACACCAAGTTAACGTAGTACTTTAAGGAACTTCAAGAAGCTTCGAAGGAATCTTATATCAAGTATTCCTAACAACCATTTTATAGGTTCCACAGATCAGACGTAGGTGGTCACGTGGCCGCTCTCTCACGCCTACAACGTTTAGAAAGTTTATGTGGAAAGTGTTGAGTGATTTCCTCACACACGCATACAGACAAAAGATAAAGAATAATTTAGATGATCAATATCGACTTTGGTAGTATTCTGCTTGTTGAACAAGATAATTTAGAGAAAGCTTTCTTCATAAAAGTAAATATTTTAGACCTGATCAGTGTCTAGTTCTGCTTAGCTATGTATGGAGTATCATAACAATTACGTATCGTTTTAATCAATCCACACCAACAAGATAATATTAAGTAAAACACATTATAGATTCATTGAGCCATAAACATTTAAATTCTCATACAAGGTATTAATTGAAATCTAAATCAAAATGTACAGCTTGAATTTGTATAAACGTCTACACAGGAGCGTCGCTTCACAGAAGTCAAGAAAGACAGACCTTGCGTGACCGCCAATTCTGATGAGAGGGGCTATGCTGTGTCGTGATTTGTGTATACGTATTTAATCCGGCTTGATTAGAAATGTCCACAGAAACTATCATTTTGAGCCCTTCATAAGTTTGAGGAGAGAAGCAGCTTTTGTCGCCCCCGCCCCACTCTTAAGTGACACCACTGAGCCAACAGTCTTTGGAATAACCCGACAATACCAGGTTATGCATTTCAGACAATCAGACAAAGCAGATGTATATGTCAGTTGGTTAAGAAAACCAAGTCCGAGTAAAAGTGTTACAGTTCACTCTGGTTATTAATTGTTGGCTGATGATAGATTAAAGTATGTTTGATATTATTACTGTTAGAGAAATATATTATAGACTGTTTTTATCTTCGAAACCTAAGTAGCATTTCTTCTTATTTTTCTAAGCATGACCAGAAAAACCATTCAGAGGGGCTAAATTTCCGTTTTATTTCTCGTGAACGAAATGAAGATGGAGTTTCATTAGTTTAATAGCTCTTTTAATTTTATTGCAAAGTTTGTGAGTAATATATTCATGTGAGCTGAAGCAGAAAATTTATTACACAGTTACTTTTCGTCGAAGTTTATTTTGTTTGTACTCGTCACTAGTTTGAGAAATGAAAGCCAGCTCTTGAGAATTCGGTGCTTTGTTAACTTTTAGAATGGGTATATTTCTCACCTTGTTTAAGCGTTGTTTGTAAGGCCTAGCAACTATATGACTTTTGGACTGTCATTTGCCCAACAACTGATAGGTGTATCATTACTTTATGCAAGCTTGAACTAGTGAGAACACTTTGTTAGATTTTTCAAAAACTATGGGTAATAATAATAAAGGAATATAAGGTATTTTAAATCCAACTTCCTTAAAATATGCCAACATTAAAATTTATACTTTGTTGTAAGAGTCCCGTCCATTAGCACAGATTCAATTTTTCAACACTTGTCAAAAGCTAGTCTTTACGTTCCATTTCACAGGCTTTGCGATAACAGTTTTAGACGCGATGGTTGAGAAACATCATAATGTAAGATTCAAACAAGAAATAAGCAGGGACTCTAGTAAAATATTATCTGTAGTTGTTATTCAAAACATTGTTAAAATAGCTTAGTTTTTATTATTTCATCTATCTCCATTGTATACCAGCTGAAAGTTAAAGTGGACAGTTTACAGATCTACTGCATTAAGTTCTATTTCTTTTATCGAGTACAATATTTTAAGTATATGATATTAAAGCACATGAGAAACAAAGTGTATTATTCACAAGTGAAAAAAAAATCCAGAAAAAACAACAAAGGATGATAACATACGAAGTTTTGATGATGGATCTTAGTTGATTTGGTAAAAAATAAAAAATAAACAATAATAATAAAACCGGATTTTATGTACAAAATTATAATGTAAAGAGTAAAAAGTCTAACTGCTAAAACTTTCATTGTTAAAATCCTCTTATAGAAGGGCACAAGTTAATGGCTAGAACATACCTTTAAAGTGATAACATGATAGAGAGTCGAGTTCGAAGTCATGTGTGATTATTCTAAGTCTACACTTTGACTTTCTTATGTTTATGGAAGCTGAAACTTGAAAGTTACAAATAAAAAATGAGGTGTGAAGTTTTATTTATCCAGAGAATCCCAAATAAGGTGGCTTTCTTTCGGTATTCATTTGTATTGGTTTGCCAAGCAGTCCATACTGTCAACGGTAATATTTTGTTCTTTGATTACAACTAAGCATCATTGTTTTTGTGATGAATAAGATTATTATATAAAGTTATGTGAACAGTAACATACACGTTGAATTCTAAGTGGGCTAATGTTAAACTAAACTAAAATTACAAATATTACCAAAGTGAAAACAACAACAACAACTACAAATCTCTTTTTTAAATTTGTTATAGATTCAGAGGTAGTAAGGTTGAACTGCATTAGAAACGTTGTCACACACACACAAAAGAAGTAAAACTGGACTATGACGGGTTGTTTTTATATATTCCATACAGCCAGAGAACGTTATTATATAATAAAGGTATTGAGGTTGAACTTCGCCGGGAACATTGTATATATCATATAGTCAAAGGTTGTAAAACTGAACTATGTCGGGAATGTTATTATACATATCAAGAAGTCAGAGGTACTGAGGTTAAACTTCGTCTAGAACATTGTATATTGAAACCATACAGTCAAAGAAAGTAAATCCTGAAATAGTATCCAGGTATCAGAGGATTGGAAGTAAGCTAATGTAACTCCTCTTCTCAAGAAAGGTGATAAAATTCTCCCAGTAACTATATGCCCATTAGTCTTACATCAGTTGTGGGAAAGTTTTTGGAAAATCTGTTAAAAGATGCTTTGAGAAGTCATTTAACAAAGTTTAGAATGTTATTGGATAGTCAACATGGTTTCACTAAGAGAAAATCTTGACTTACAAATCTTTTGACATTCTTTGAAAAGGTTACTGTTTATGTGGATGAGGGTAAGGGTGTAGATTTGGATTTTCAGAAAGCGATTTGACAAGGTGCCAATAAAAGGCTTGTAAAGATATTTCTAGGAATAGTTGGGTAATTGGGTACCTCAAGACTCAGTCTTAGGACCTTTGCTCTTTTTGATTTACATCAAAGACATAGATGAAAGAATGGTCAATAAATTACTTAAATTTGAAGATGATATTAAAGCCTTGAATGTTGCTAGCTGGGAAGAGGATGTTGCTACTTTACAAAAGGATTTAGATCATTTAGTGAGTTGGGCGAATAAATGGTAGATGACTTTTAATTATAATAAATGTAAGAGAATGCATTTGGGTTATCATAATTTGAATTATAAGTATAATTTGAATGGCAATAACTTTAACAGTGTCATAAAAGAAAGGGATCTAGATGTAATGGTTGATCAGTCTCTTAAGCCACCCAAGCAGTGTGATGATGCTAGTGGTAGAGCAAATAGGAATTTAGGTTGTATCTACAGAAATACTGAATACAAGGCTAAACAGATTATAATTTCATTGTACTGGTCACTGGTTAGGCCGCATTTTGAATATTGTGTTCAGTCTTGGGTTCCTTACCTCAGGAAGGACATTGAATTGTTAGAAAGGGTTCAGAGAATGGTTGCTAGAATGGTGCTTGGGATGCAGGGGTTGTCATACGAGGAGAGGTTAAGATCTCTGAAATTGTTTTATCTTGAAAAAGAAGAGTTAGAGAAGATCTAGTTGAGAT